CTTACATTCTATAAAGCAGAAACTTTGTGTGTCCGGCTTTGTCCGTATCAGCCCTATCTGCTCGGGTCTTGTATGTATGTCCGTACCGCAAAATGCGTTTACGCGAGATTGAACAACCCGTATAGTGTAAGAAGAAAACGACCGCTCAGCCACCGGGAGCCGCATCGGTGAGATGTATCAAATCCAATGTTTGCTGATTGTGATAAAGCATATATAGACAACCACTCGGTTCACACTGCTCCGACCATTGCACGAAGCTGCTGCCCGGTGGCAGCTGGACAGTGTGGCTGTGCGGGGCAGGGTGGGGCGCCAGGCTCGCCCTGCCTCCTTCTCACTGCATGTGCTTCAGGCCGAGAGACACATGTATTGGAGGGAGGCAGCGGGCAGCCGTGAGCACATGTATTGGAGGGAGGCAGAGGGAAGGGGTCGCGAGGAGCGGGGGTACAGTGGGAGGTGCGTAGCGCGTTTCAGTACGCACACCAATGGATGAGGAAACAACCGCGAACAAAATTGCAAGCAAATCTATGTTACCGTAACGAAGTAAGAAGTTGTTTTGGTTGTGATAACACACTCCATTATATAAGAAAACCACTACGCTACGAGCCATTGCACGGGTTGCTCGTGTTACAGTTGGACATAAGCGCGTGCAAGGGGCAAGGTGGAGAGGGGGGGGGGTGGAGTGGCGAATGGGGTGAGGTGAGGAAGGTGGGAGTTAGTGTCGAGTGACCCCCTTCTCCCATCCTCACTCCCTTGCGCGTAATCAATCGGATCTGAGCCCATGCAGAGGAAGGAGGCATATGGATTGAATCGGGCAAACTGGGTACAGTAAGAGGATGCGTAGCGTACGCTTGGATAGCAGGCGGCAAGACAAAAGGAAAGAACAGCTAGCAAAACTGCAGGCTAATCCATGTTACAGCAACGAACTAGGAAGCTGTTTGGATTGTGAATCGCTCCCCTATCTAAGCCAACCACTGTGAGAGAGTCTGTGCTATTGCAGGAGCTGCTCGCTTGGGAGCTGGACGTGAGCCGAGCAAGGCGGTGGTAAGTACACTGACGGCGTAGTGTCCCTATGTTGCACCAGCTGCTCACGTTGCGGCTGCATACCACGTGCGGGAGTGCCAGTTAAACAGGGTGAGTGGGATATGATGTGGTGAGGGGGATACCAGATGAGAACGGCGATTTCGCGATTAGGAGCACATAGCGCCTGCGGCGGTAAGGCGTCTACGGTTGTGATAAGATGAGAAGAAAATGGATCGACCGCAATCGGAACTGAACCAATTAATTTTATTATCATTATTATGTTATCATTATGTCATCATCATCATTATGTTATTATCAAACTGTGGTAGCGTTTTGATAGCCATAACACCCTCCACAACATACACAACCATTTAATGCACTCAGAGCCATTGCACGGGCTATTCGCGTAGCAGCTGAGCGTGACCTGTAGGGTGGCTGAGCGGCGAATAGCGGAGGTTAGTTTGGGGGATAGGTGAAGTGGAGGGGTACCATATTGGCGCGGACGCTCGCCTGAACAGGAGCACGCAGCGAAAGAAGCATCCTTGGCTGTCATAAGATGGGGAGGAGAGTAATCGATCATCCATGACCAGTTTTTGAACTTTTCATTATGTGCCCTGCGATCGCATGGCGCGTTTCTACATTCATTTGATTAGAAGACAGCGGTAGTCACGACTCTAAAGCAGTTGCATGAGCCCGGCGAAGCCGGGCGACCAAGAAGGAGGAGAGCTCGGCGTTAGCCGGGCGATCCGACTGGTTTTTAACAGAAACTGGACACAGGAAACCTCTGGGGCAATACCCACTTCACACGCGGACGGAGGATCGCCCGCCGGAGGCGGGCGATTCGACTAGTGTAGTGAAATGTAAATAGGGGTCAAGAGGGGTCATGGACCTCTTTCTTCTTTAGCGACTTGCATCCTTATTCCACTGAAACTATGGGAGGTCTCTCACTGAAACTATGGGAGGTCTCTGATTCTTCTGTCATAATCGTCACAAACTTTACTTCTGATTTTAGGTTCTACTTTCACCACCACTAACTTCACCTTTCAAACTTATTTCCAGTGACTTTCATTTTCATTTATTTTTTTTAGATTTTACTGTCCATTCAGGGTTCATTTTCACGTGTGTGCTTGATGGAATGCGATAGCGACGGTCACCTTCCGAGAAAACTCATTATTAAGGTAGGCCCCTTCAACACCCCTGTTTCCCTGTCAAGGTCGTGTTAAGAAGTTTGGAAGTTTCTACTTATGAGTCTTCCTTGCTCCATTCTTATCTCCTTGGTCCAACGTACTGACTTACTTCTGAATCAAAGTATCCTACTGGTTGTACCGAATATATACCATGACAACTTTCAAAATCAGATATCGGACAACTTTTCAAATTCAAAATTGGACACTTTGTTCAAACCAAATGCGGAGCAGCTGTTTGCGAATCAAATGTGACAGCTTCAAAACCAAATGGACACTTATCAAAACAGAATCGACGACTTTTCAAATCAAAATCGACACTGTATTCAAGATCAAAATCGACATCTTTTCAATCAAAAATCGACACTTTTCAAACCACAATCGCACTTTTCAAACTAAATCGACACGAGTCTGCCCCCTTACAATTAGGTGTGAGGAAGCTTAGATCCTACAGCTAAGGTAATGTTGCAGAGCTCGGCCGCGCCCGGCATTATCTGCCGCAACCATTTCCTCAGCGCGGACAGGGTTTCCGAGGTGCTTCATGAAGATCTGCTCCGGACCAGACTTATTTTCGTTTTGCCCTTTGCACACGGCACACTTCAACTGAAGAAAGAATGATACCTATACCAGATCTGACTCCGACCACTTAACAATGAAGTAATGTAAGTTCGGAATTTTATAACAAGACCTTTTTTTTTTTTCCTGGGTTGATGTTTTTTTTTCTTGCGTGTTTTTGTTTTTCGAAACGTAATTCTTTTGCACATCCGATCTTCACAAAATGAAAAACCATGCACAGCGCTCCTATGCCACCGCCCGCTTCTGACCCCGCCCAACTTGTGTTTATCGCGAAATTTCTGGTTTTCTTCCGGGAGTGTTTGCTGTGGCATTTTGGTAGTGGCTTTAGCGATTGGCCTCCGCCAGCAAAATGGAAGCCCGCTCACTTTGGGGAGCCCGCCCGACTTTTCAAAAATGATGCGAGGTCTGGTTGGCGTAGGTGTGCGCCTAGCTAAAGCATTATCGGGCCATCGTCATCGCTCCGAGGGTAACAAAGTTTCCTCGTTTCTTTTGTTCGCGTTTTTCCTGTTTTTTTATTCGGAGTGTGCCGGGGAGAGGGCCGCAAAGTCCCCACTACGGTCGAAGAAAAAGTTGATAAAAAATTGCGCGAGACGTTAAATACTGTCAAAAGTGGCGGAGTCAGAATGCTGTATAGGATATCAGGATTCTTTTGTCAGTTGAAGTGTGTGGTGCAAAGGGCAAACGAAAGAGTCGAGAGAGTATTTCATGAAGCATCTCGGAAAACGCCTGTCCTCGCGGTCTGAGAAGGGCGGGAATAATGGGCCGGGTCTTGGCACAGTACCTAAGTGTGGTTTAGTTATCAAACCAAGCCTAATTGTAAGGGGGTGTCCGATTTGGTTTGAAAAGTGTCCGATTTGGTTTGAAAAGTGTCCCGGAGTTTGTATTTTGAAAAAGTGTCCAATTTGTTTTGAAAAAGTGTCCGCTGGCATTTGAAAAGTGTCCGATTGGTTTGAAAAGTGTCCAGATAGAATTTGAAAAGTGTCCGAATTTGGTTTGAAAAGGGTGTCCGCGATTGGATTTAGAAAGTGTCCGATTTGAATGTTAAAAGTGTCCGGATTGGTTTGAGAAAAAGTCCGAGTTTGAAAGTGAAAATGGTAGATGAGATGCCTGTTGATCATCTTTCTGAACTCCTATTTGACGGCTTTCGCAAAGCATGACCAGAGCTGAAGGGGCCTGCAAAATTGTAAGCCTTCTCTCGTCCAAGCTGCCATCCAGTGACTCGCTTCTAAAATAATTGGGACGGGCTGAGGGTAGTGATAACCCGAGTGCAGATACCAAAGTCCACTCAGCGCCCTTTTTTCCACTTTTTCAAAAAACGGCACCCCGGTCAGCCAGGATTTTATTCCAGCACTTTTCACGATTCCCACATGTCTTACTTATTTGAAACAGAAGGAGAAAGAGGTTGGACCAGCGGTGAATTATCAGTTACGCAAGGACTTGCTAACCAAGGTAGTTCTCTATTGTTTTCTGCACTACTTCACTAATATAACCCCAAAATATCAAAACAATTTGTCGAAAAATTGGTCGGTTGAAAATTGGTGTCACGCTCATGCTCAGGCTGCCCGATTACCTCTGAAAGGAGCTCTACTGCTATTTTGACGAATAAGTGTGTAAGGGTTCTAGGAATCGGGTAAACTCGAAGAATAATATGGATAGTGAACACGTCCTTATGCTTGATGGGGGCACGAAATGATGCTCAGCGAAGCTTGGACGAGCCAACTTGTGGGATCCAAGTGGCGCACTAGTCCCTCTGCAATTTAATGGGCAGCTTCGCGATAAGTGAAATGGTGTCAGTACGACTGCTCACATAAAAGAAGGTCTCTGTACGACCCCCCTCCCCTTTCTCCATCACCTACCTACCAATTCCCAACATATTCCAGTTTTCCACCCAAAGATTTTCCGTCGAGAGGGGGGTGGGGAGGGGGAGGGGGTATGTATGTAGTACATGGAAGAGGGAAAATCACGGAAACTCAACAACCGTGGAATTTCTTCCAAAGTGGCAACTTCCTCCCCACATAGCCCACCCCCCCCCCTTCCGCAGCGGAAAATATGACTCCCCCTCCACCCTAGGTGTTTCACACAAGATGCTATACCCTGTTCACGGGTGTTCATCTGTTAATTCACATGAACTAGCAAAAATAATTTGTGAAAAAGCGAAATGCTCCTCTCAAGCCAAGCACTGTTCACATTGCCTTGCTGGATTCATTACCTCTGAATGCTATGTTTCAGTACCACAATACCGAAACATTATTCTACGAAAATGCTCGAAATGTCCCTGGAGTCCCACGGATCTTCCTCAGTCGCGGTTTAGGAGCTAATGATGATCGAGGAATCATCTGTATGGAGTACTTGGAGAAAGCCTACACCCGCCCTGTCTCCGAGAACATTTCCATCAGCGAGATGAAATCGGTTAGTTTTTACGAGTCGTTGAATCAGAGTTCCCATTTCGCTGATCAGCAAAATAATTTGAATCTAGCACTATCAAACTGGATCAAAATCCGCTATAAATAAAAGGTGATGAAAATAAGAAATAGCCCGGGGGATTCAGTAATTCTCTATTCTGTTTGAAAATTCCAAATTCATGTTGTTTCGACTGGAGAATCTTTCTTTCAGTGTTTTTCCAGCGACTACCTGTATCTCCAAACTGTTTCTGCTTGCAGATTCTCGAGCTATACGCCGGTATTCAAAGGGATTGCGCGAAGATACCTTACGAAGTTCGTGCACAGCTTAATACGAATGTTTTCAAGCTGCTCTCAACAACCACACTAAGCTTAGAGGTAATTTCATAAACATCTGTGGAAATGAAAGATGTTGCAGCTGCGGAAAGACTTCAGAGACACCGTGGATGCAGTTCGTGGGCTTTGGTATCCAAATATAACTTCATGTATGCCAGTTGACTTCCCCATAAAGAGTTGTAAATCGTTGCGCATAAGACCCCAAAATTCGACGAGTTTTCAAAGAATGGAGACATTGCTGAGCGGGCAAGACCCTAAAGACACGAGAGAGCAGGAAGAGAGACAACTGACGAGGATAAAGAAAGAGACGAGCAGTGGGACGATTGAAGTCGCTACTCACAGAACGGACGTAACGCGTCACACCTGTGTGGAACCATACGAGGTTGCGGCCTCCGTATCATGTTCCGCCTCCGGAAGAGGGAGGCATCTTCTACCAGTGTTTCCCCGACTCAGACGATAGTATCCCCCTCGTCAATCACCGCCGAGCCAATCTGGGGGCAGTTATTGAGATTGTGGGTACTTGAGTACTAAATACTAAGTTCACGAAACTGGTTTTACCGACGAGATTAGTGTGGAACAGATTGTCTGGAAGAGTGGCAACTATAATGTGGACATCTGGTTTCTGCAAGAAATTCATGGCGCACAAACGCGTAGGGGAGTCCAAGGGGCACTCAAAAGCATGGCGTATCCAATGTGTGAAGAGCTAACGAAGTTTTTCATGTTAATCTGTCATAGTAAAATATTTCAGACACTCACTCAACGCCTCCATCGCATGACACTTTGGGCGCCGGAAATGACGTCAACCTTCCAAGAGCTCGTCAAACTTCTTCCAAATATTGTTGATCACACAGCGATAACTCGCTGCATTCAGAATGTCGTAGGTAATTCTGAACAAATTTTATGGTAGTTCTGGACGAAAATGCTCTAGATCGATCGCTGAGGAGTGATTAAAGTGTAGCTGAAAACGGCGCAGTCTGTCCGGGCAGTTCCAGGAAGGATGGATTGAGCCTATCCGCGGCGTTTTCACCACTAACTGCTTTCTTTCTGAATCGATCACTAACCGATCACCACTGGAAGAGCAAGGCAGACGACTCATTCCGCCCCGCCTGATTGCCATGTAATCAACCATACAGAGGGAAGGCAAAAAGACACTGTTTTTTCTTGGCATTCAAGGCGATATAAGTTACACTTTATCAAAGGCTGAGCCCGCATTCAAATTTGATGAGTTATGCGGCTCAAATACTTAAAACAAGGTAGCAAATCCCTCAGTAAAGAAAAATCAGAAAGAAATCATAGGTTAGGCTCTATATAGAACCCCTTGCTTAATTGAGCTTGTACGTGCTCGAGGCGAAGAGAAGTGCGGCTACACGAGTTCTCACTTGTTGATATCAGCTGTTTCCCTTATCACCTCATTCTCACCACGCAACGTGGAGAGAAGCAGCAGCGAAAGAACCGCATCATCAGATAACCATTAGAAATGGATGGTGGGCGGTGCCAATGATTGAAGGTTGGGCCAATGAGAAGAACGACGGTATCGTGGGCTTCCTCACTCCGTTCTTTCGTGCCGCGAAAGTGGTGTAGTTGTTGCCTCAGCGGACCTGACTACCTGCTCACAAAGGGAGAGGAAAATCTCAACTGAACGCGGACGCTGCCTTGAAGTTCTGATAGGACATTTCCACCACCATGTTCAACAACACATTGTACACTACTACGAAATTCCGCCACGGCCTTCTGGACGAACGCCATCGAGAGATTCTGCCAAGCGACTGTGATTCGGTGTCTGAGTCCAGCGAGGTCATTGGTTTCTCCGTCACTGTAGACCACCCTGTTGAGCTCCGCTCGGACCCAGTAATCGGGGTTCAGATCAGGTGACACACCTAGATATTCCGTTTTCTTCGGGTACTCGACGTCCTTCGATCCCAAGTAGGCGAGAGTTTTTCCAGCGCTCTTCGATTCCATGTAGTGCTCGACGTGCCAGCATTCACTTTCAGTCCGGCGTCCACGAATATCGGTCTTCGGTCTTCCCATTCCAGGAACTTCTAGTCCATACCATCAACTAGCGCCTTGGCGACTGCGATGAACATGATATCCTAGACCGTAGCGACGTTATCGGAGCTGCTCATTGATGTAGGTCTTTCACATCGATGGTGCCGATCTCCAGCTAGATGTCCATGGGTGACTCCATACAGGAAGTTTCGAAGTTGTTTGGAGGAGACGTGAATTCCATAGGCTTTCTCCACTCAGGCTGCGATTGGAGATGGCTTCATATTTTGCTGCTCATGAAGGTGGTGGACGAGGGCCGGCTCCTGCTTATCGAGAAACGTCTTGGCCATTTTCCGCCCCGGTACTCGTATCCACGTCTCGTGCCTGGGTTGCGTAAACTTTACATATGCAACTCGGCCGAAGAGTCTTTTTTTGCTCTTCCCTTGCATGTACAACTTAGTATTTATCCTTTGAGACTAGTTTGGAACGGATTGATAGGTCCAGGAGAATGGAGGTGTTGGGTGGTTTTGCTGGGACTAAGTCGAGGACTTGATCAATGAACCGACACACTTGTGGTAACGTCACCACTTGCCGACACTCCGAAAAGCTAGGGTTTCCATAAAGGAGTGCCTTTTGTCTCAATTTCCCCCGCTTGATTGCGATCTCATCAAAAGTAAAGCCACTTTCGGCGACACTTGTCAACATTGCTTTCTCAAAAAAGCAGTAGAAGCTAGTAGAAGCGGTGCTATTTTCAGCGTTGAAGCGTGGAAGGATGAGCCTGCTTCTCTGTGTATTCTCTCGCCCTCCGGCCTTCAGCGCATCCCTCTGTGTGTTTCCACCGATTAGATCCCACTGCTCAAAGTCGAGTTTTTTTTTCTTCAATGGCCAGTCCATAAGCAACTTCGATCTCACGCCTGTGGCCAGTCCATAAGCAACTTCGAACTCACGCCCGCCCCCTCCCTCTATCCAGCAGTTACGTACTGGAATGTACCCATAAATACGCCAGTTATTGCTTCTCTCTTCTTGTAAAATATTAATTGAAATTATGCAGTGGGGAAAAGGTTTATGCATAATGCTCTTTAGCGCATCAACATCTTCTCGTACATGGGGACTTGTATTCAAGCAACATGCTTTGGCAAGACGGTATTGTCAAAGCCGTTATTGATTACCAGGTGAGTTAGAAAGCATAAAAATAAAATAAATGCTCCTAAACCACTAACTCAGTATAGTAAACAGTAACAGTTTTTTTCCATCAGGAAACCTGTACTTGCTTTTTGGCAACCAATCCGGGAATTTTAGAAATTTTCAGAAATTTTAATTGTCATTTAGATGGTGCATTACGGGAACCCTGTTGAGGACCTCGTACGCTTGTTCACTACAGGGCTTACAGCAACTGACAGGAAGAGTCACACTACCGAACTCTTGGATTACTACCGAAAACAGATGACGTTGAAAATGCCTGAATTAGAAGAAAGCCTAACGGTGGACTGGGTGAGTTTGCCATATGTAGTTTACTTTTGTATGGTAGATAGTAAGCAATCAAACTGATGAATGCTGGAGATCGTTGATCGTTTTCGGGGGTGGTGGCAAAGCAACTCCTACTAAACATACTACTACGGAGGCTACGGGGGCATAAGGGGGCGGCCCCAGCACCCTTTTTCTCCGTGGCGCTAGTCCCGCACCGCCGCACGGTCCGCTATTCTTGTTACGTCGGCACTTGGGTTACGCGACATCTTGAGCTTTTGTGCATGGCCCTGTTGCGAAATCAAGAAAGACAGGCAGCATACTCATTATCCCTGAAACGGAGCAGGCGTGGCATTTGAACATGGCCAGGATAGGTTACTCGTGGAATATTTTAGTTTGAGACAACTGTTCACCTTGTTCTTGTTCGACAGAGACACGAACACAATCGTGTCAGAATGAAAATGTCACTCGAAAAAACACAATCATCGCCACGCTTACTTGAAGTACGCAGCCACGCCTACCACATATCAGAGATTCGAGTGTAGAAGACAACGCCTGCCAAAGCATCGAGACTTGCCAGGAAACTGTAGCAAGCCAGGAAACAAGCTTTTGGAATGTGCGCAGTCACAATGACCACAGAGTGCCACGCGGACAAGAGAGAGAGAGAGAGAGCAGAGAAATACACAAATTCGACGCGTCAGAGGAATTGAGTTCAAACCTGTCCGTGGACCATTTTCCTTGGGGTGCTCGTGGTCCTTCGGGGTCCATCGTTTCCTTATCAGGTGGTCCTCTGGCCGAGTCAGGGCTGGGGCTTAGACCGGCGCCATCACAATTTTGGCAACTCTTGTCGTTTCCCATTTCAATATACTTTATCTACTGGAGCGGAAAAGCGGCACCAAGCCCGCCCCCCTTACGCGTCCTGCCCAGCGAACCAGACTTTATGTAGTGGTGCTTGGGAAAACACTAACTTGAGATGATTAACAGGTTCTTTGGAGACTGCTTCCTATAAAGGATAAAAAGGATAAAGTCTTCGCCGTTGATCAATCTTCATGGGATGCGCACGCATTCTACTTCTATTCAGAATGCGTAGTGGCTTATTGAATGCGATGTGGCCTATACAAATGACTTGCGGGGGCCAACCGATTTACATCCTTCCAGACGAACCTGGTACCACTTTACCGTCCCGAAAGGTAAGAACGTTGGTTGGCCTGGGCTGGAGTCGACCCGGGATTTGAACCCGACGCCGCGCGAGTGGTAGCGCGCCATTTGTCACTACACTACCTCCGCCTCTTGCCTCCCATATGGCAGAATAAACTGCAAACTCGCATTGTGATCTTAGACAATCGCGATCACAAAATCGCCCAACTAGTGGATCGAATGTTAGTTTTTACCTGGCGAGCGGTATTTGACGACCCTTTTTTGTACTGTAATTATAGGTGGGCCCTTGGTTTGCTTTCAAGACGCTGATGCTCTTAAGAAAAGAGAATGTATGGAGCCAAAACGTTCACTAGGTTCGAACTTGAGAGGCCATACCACCCGCGCGGCCGACTTATCAAATTGAATAAACCAGCGTCTGTTCGCTGTAGATGCCGGGCAGATTGAGTTTGGTTAAGGTCAGCCCATTCTTCACGGACTATTATCGCTTGCCAGCTACCCAGCTACTGAATTTGGAGGAGAATGGACTGGCGCCGCCAAGCCCAGCCTTCTGACAAGCCTAACATCCCCAGCGAACAAGACTTTGCCAAAGCGATCGCTGATTAGGAGAAACGGCTGTTTTCAGCTTTCGTCATGCTACAAGAAAATTTTTCCAATGGCCGGTCTATGGGCCATAGTTAGCCTTCACGCCTCGTTCGAATCGACGACCTCCCGGGAAGTGCCGGACACCACCAAACTGAAGACAGTTATCGACAAAATCCATGGTATTGCAGCCGAAATAATCGAAACGGCCATCTGTTCAGAATAAAACCGACAAATTAGTGAAATCTCTGAATAAAATTTACAAGAAAAAAATCTGCTGTGATTTGTTTGCGTATAATAGTGCTTATAGGGAGATTTTCTCGGTGATTGTGTCAAAATAAGCTGCGGTGAATTTGCCTTCGCTACTTCAAACTGGGTGGAGCGGCGGGGGATGGAAAAAAGCAACCAAAATGAACCTAATTTGTCTATTGCATGTGCCTCTACAACGTAAAACGCCATTTGGCCAAGCCCTGCGCGTTCTGAAAAACCCCCTTGGGACTGAGCGCAGCAGGCACGGGTCAAAGCATCAAGTGTGTGTGTGTCGCCAAGGAATGCCAAAGAAATCACAAAGTAAAGACAAACTATACACCCCATCCTTCCAAGGCATGTGCGAGAAGCAGGGATTGGCAATTGTGCAGGTGTAAAATCTGCGTCACTTGAGAGCGCTCGCAAACAAGGCTGAATGGTAGCGATATCTTGGCTCGGTTTCCGGAATTTGCTCGCACTATCCTCAAAAGCATGGTCCGCGATAAGGTATAGAAGTTGAAAGTATGGCACGTGATCCGCGGCGAACAACTTTTTACCCGTTTCGCGTCGAAACATTGCAAGGGAGGGGAGCTATAGCGCAATATAGGTTCAGTGACGCCTCCTTATTCCCACTGACTCCGTCTCCAGCCTCCGCCTTCAGGGCCCTCCTTTCAGTGGAAAAACGAAGCTGCAGGAAGAAAAAGCATGAAAATGAAAAAGCCACTTGTACGGTCGTAGTTCTTTTCGGGGAATCAGCTGTGCGGATGAGAGCGTAGTGTTGGAGATAGAGTTGAATGGACACGTGCAAATCGGGACCAAAATGGGGTTCTATTGAGGGCAGTTGATATTTTTTTCCACTTTTTTCTTCACTACCGAGTTACTCAGCACCTCGCCGTCAATATGGAACCCCCTAATGCACTATCTGTGATGACGAATAATTGTTGCCTTTAAGGTGCAGCATCTGCTTCAGTACCGAAATTCCTCAGCGGAGACGCAGTCAGATACAGCAGCTTCAGTTGCAGTGTGA